TTAAAAGCAGTTTGCTCTTAGTCTTAGATGTATTGATGAGAGTATTTACACATTAATAAACCAATATTCCTTGGATATTGCACTGAGATTACATAAGGAAAAAATCAACATGGGAATATTTCTATTATCTGTGATCCTACTGCCCACTTTTTTATTCTTTCCTAAGATTCATATTCACCTCTATTCTCCTGGCCCATTAAGCATGATTCTCTGCAAATGGACTCCCGTTACTTTCAATACATAGCTCCAATACTGGGTGGATATTCTTCATCTGATTTAAAAATGTGTTTAGGAGTAATTTAGTGTAATAAAACAGAAGAGCACAATCAGGAAATGCAACAGAGGTATAACTGTATCAAAAAAGAAGACTTGAGAATATGAAATTTGAAAATTTGATAATATTTGATGCAGATACCAGGGGGACAGAGTGAATGCAACTAGTGGCCCTAAGTATGATCAGGTCCGTAGAAAATGATATAGGAGGTTTACTGTGATTGGTTGCTTGAGCTTATTAAAAAATAAAGTATTCATAAGTGACTACTTTTCAATTGTTTTAGAATATATCATTGACTTTAGTTTCCATCTGATTTCAATAGAAACAACTTATGTATTTTGCTTTTTGTTAGACTCTTGATTCATGCTTACTTTCCTTTCCATGATATCAATAGAACAGTTCGCTTAATAACTAGTTCCCTAGCTGAGGAAGATAATAAGAAAAAAATGGTGAAACAGTATATTAACAAAGGAAAGAGACTTCCCCATTAGACTAATTTTATGAAAAGATGTGACTGAATAAAATGAGACTATGTTGAGGATTTACATTGAGAAGACTTGAGACTAATATCCAGCTCGGTTATTATAGAGCAAACAAATTTTTGTGTGTAATACATGCTTTATACTTTCTAGATGCTGCAACCACAAAAATGAGTAAAGCATTATGCTTTTACTCTCAATAAGCCACATTCCTATGAGAGAGATACATAGTTATTATTGACAATAAAATATAATTTCTTAAAAAGAAATTATGTATGAGTGTCTTTGTCATGTAGGCAAATCATTTAACCTCAACTGTGAAAAGGTGATTGTAATCTTAGTGAAATTCTATTTTGCAGCTCTGGTTTATGTAGATTTGAGGTAATTAGAAAACAGAGAAATATTAATGACTTGCAAAATATCACAAGTCTGACTTGTCTTGAGGGACTTTAAGCCAATCCAAAGGAATGCATCTTGCAGATTTATGTATAACAATATTACTTGGTCTTTGATGCCCAGAGTATTGTAAGTTCTGAGACATTGAAAATTTGATGAAAGCTCTAGATCTCCCCCAGAGAAAAGCATCCAGTCTCTTCCTACAGTAGGTTTTAACAGTTTCATAGGGTTGAAGAATTCCTTGAAATCTCAGGGTAAATAAATTTTGGCTTAAAATATTAGTGACTTCTAATATATATAGAGCTATTAAATGGAATAGTTGAGAATTCAACCCCGGTGTTCTGAGACCATCAGCTATGCTGCTAATTACCACACTGCTACCTCCTCATTAAGGTTCATCCCTCCATAACATGTCAGTCCTAACTGCTGATGATATTATCAGGAGAGAGAGGAGAAGCTAACATGCAAGCGTGATCTTCCTCCATACTTCGGAGATGGCTGCCTCATCTAGCGATCTTATCTTCCTGTCATGGGCTTTAGTCTCCTTTGGTATATAACATACATCTGATAGCAGTGAGAATATGTACAGGTAGATGTTAATACTCCTGAAAGCTTAGTCTCAGATATTGCTCTCTACTCCATTCCACAACAATCATCCAAATAACATAAATCCTAAGAATACTGTCTATACACAAATGTTGATTTATTTAGCTGACATTTATTGAATTTTCATTCAATCGGTGCATGGGACACAGTAGTGAACAAAACAGACAAAATGGTGTGTCCTTATGGAAATTATATTTTAGAGAAGGAGTCAGACAATAAACAAGGAAAGTAAAATATAGGGGTGGACAAAGGTAAGTTTGTAGTTGTGAGTAAGTGAAACAGTTTATTCTTGTATTATTATTTATTAATTATTGTATTGTTCCTATATGAACAACTGTAAACTTACTTTAGCCCACCCTTGTATATTAATATATCGGTGATAAGAGTTATATAGAAAAATAAGGGAGTGAAATATGAAATGGCAAATGTTGGAGATTGGTAGGAGTTGAAATTTTAGATAGGAGAAACTCAGTAATGAATATCCATCCTATCTAAATAAATAGGGAATAAGCTAAGTGACCCTCATGCCATCGTGAAGATGGCAGCACCCACAGCCAATAAGGAGGGAATATGCTAATTGACTTCCCTACCCTCAAAGATGGCCGCAGGCACAGCCAATAAGGAGGGAATATGCTAAATCACTGCCACGCCCTTAAGATGGTGGTGCCCACAGCCACAAGATGGCCGGCAGGGGAGGGCAGTTGTGGGTGATCAGACCAGCAGAGGAAGGCAGTTAGGGGAAACCAGGCCAGCAGGGGAGAGCAGTTGGGGAGGACCAAGCCTGCAGGGAAGGGTAGTTAGGGGTTACTGGGCTGGCAAGGGAGGGCAGTTGGGGGTGACCGGGCTGGCAGGGGAGGGCAGTTGGGGGCAATCAGGCTGGAAGGCAGAAATAGTTAGGGGCAGGCAGGCGAGCGGTTGGGAGCCAGCAGTCCCAGATTGTGAGAGGGATGTCCGACGGCCAGTTTAGGCCTGACACCACAGGGATCGGGCCTAAACTGGCCCTCAGACATCCCCCAAGGGGTCTCATATTGGATAAGGTGCAGGCTGGGCTGAGGGACACCCCCCCTCCCCCAGTGCACAAATTTTGTGCACCGGGCCTCTTGTATAAAATAATTGATAAAAAAGTGAACCCATGATAATATATGTATATTTACCATCAAAAGTGTCATCTTAAAGTAATATCTATGATGTCAGCATAAATACCACCTAACAAGACTTTGCCTTTCATGAGTAATAGCACAGGAACAATATTTCCAAAAATGCACAATATTTTGTTCATTTTAAAATGAGATAGTCTGTCATTGTTGAACCAATTGAGGTCATGGGGGAGAAAAGTGAGAAATCATTAAGGGACACAGAAGAGTGTCCCACTGCCATGAATGACAGACCAACAGTTACAAGATTGATCTAGGAGTCTGACAGCCTGGATTCAAGTCCCAGCTCTGACACTTATTATCTGTACTTGAGGCCTGATACACGAAATTTGTGCACTTGTGTGTGTGGGGGTGGTCCCTTAGCCCGGCCTGCGCCCTCTCGCAGCCTTGGAGCTCTTGGGGGATGTCCGACTGCCTTGGAGGCAGGAGAGACTCCCGCCACCGCTGCTGCACTTGCCAGCTGTGAACCCAGCTTCTGACTGAGTGGCTCTGACTGAGTGGTTCCCCCTATGGGATCTCCCTGACCACCAGGGGACAGCTCCTGCATTGA